TATTCCCGCGAAATTAAAGTTTTATAACTGGCTGGCAGCTCACAATCTAAACCTGGTTTTGGACACAATTATGACTTTCTTCTTAGGAATTAATAGGGTTCGTAAAATGGTCAATATTCCGTGAAATTTCAAAAGTTGACTGAACAATGAGGACCAAACAAGTGTCAGTTTAGGTCAAATAGGTCGTCTGCATATTCTTTTAAGACTCGAACTTACTAGATCTATTAAGAGAGAAAACCGATAGGAATACAGGAAAATGCTGGCACTCTTTTAGAGATTGATCTTTTGAAATTGAGATTGACGCACGTTAACAGAGATCATTCAGCGGAATGGCGTTCGGTCATTGCTTTGTTTACCGGCTTCCTTCTCTTTGGGCGAGGAAAATCAAAATAGCCTATAACTAAAACTTGTTCTACATTTATTGACCATTTCAATGACATACAGTTTGCGGTGGAGTTTCCTGAAAAAATTGTGCGTGCATGAATTTTCTTCGTGAAGGCAACCGCGAAAGTTTGGAGTAACTAAAAGATATTAATGATTTCTAGCATTTCCAGTGCGATTTGGAATGAAGAAGCAGCCGTAAATAATACAAATTGAACTTAATCTTATAGGCTAGTGCCTTTTTTCTCTTTCTTTGATTATGCAGAGTTCAATGAGTCTTTTCGACGATATGTCAACTTGGCAACTCAATTGACCACTGAATGCCTACGTAATCGGCTTACTTACCGAACACCAACTGCCCGACATCTATTGTTGGCTCGACGATGTTGTTGAGAATTCTAGATTACTGATGACAGATATTCATATAAGTAGTGCAAAAAGATATTTTTGTTTTGTTTTTTCTTTTAAGTTACGTTTACGTCCCTTAAGAAACGAACTCGAAGATGAAATTCCCGATCCAAGTTCTTAGTTTTTCTAGTCCTTTTTTCCCAACGACTTAACTCGGGTCACTGCACGCGATTTCCAAGAGGTCGGTCAAAGCTTAGGAACTACAAATGCCACGCGTGAATTCTTCGCATTTTTGGTAATTTTTCATTCTTATACCTGTGTTTTTTTCCAATTGTAACCAATAAATTTCGTTTTGGCTTTAACAGCATTTTACCTATAAAAATGAAACAGTGACTTCTTTTATCAAACTGCTGCAAACAAGTTCGAGTGAAATCGTTTATTTGAAGTTGAGGCCACTTGAATACACAAACAAATTACTCACTTTTTTATGCTCATATTGTGTAAAGCAGTTCTTCTATAGCGATGTTGATCATGGATTCTGCACCCTATTTCTTGCACGATAACACCATCTTCTCCTTGTGGGTGATTCGCCGTCTATTGACATGAGTTGCAGCCGATATGCATTGATGAAATTGATCAATGTTGATTGATTATAGATGGAGGGTCTCATCAGGGGACTAGCTTTAACATTTGATGACAAAACATTTTTTTCCGCGTATTTTGACGATTGACGGTTTAATTTTGGAGTATTTTTTGGTAAACAGTCGTCAAAAAAAACTATTTTCCTTTATTTTATCTTGATTCCGTGTACATCACAGGATTCTCTTTTTTTTTTCCATCATTATCCTCTCAAGACTATCTTTCTTTGTGAAACGATCCTGGTCAAACTTTGCCTTCTTATTAATAAGCAGTGACAAAGGTCCATACATTTCAGTTACAAGGTAGGATCTGGGTACGAAATCAGTAAGGGCCTTCATCACTATCTCGTTGCTAAGCTACGCGTTCGTCATGCGAAGACTAATATTTCACTTCTGTTTTTCACATTTTGTGCATTTACCACTTAAAAGGCGCGACCCGCAGATACTTCTGTACGTATCATATTTTTCAACAAAAATATTTTTTCTTTTGTTCTTTATCTTTATCTACTTATCTAATGCTGAAATGACTTGACTGTTTTGACTCTGAGATTCGTAAGATTAGAGTCTTTGAAAAATGAGCGAGTTTGAGGGCAAAGTACAAGCATGAATTTAGGAAAGTAAATCCCACAGCTGCGGCTCAGAGTCGCTACAAAACTGGAAAAGTCTTTCATGAAGGTGAATACGCTGCCAAAAATTCGTTGAATTTCGAAATAAAAGATGAATAGACAAAAGCGGTAGAAAATTAAGGACAAGCACGTTTATCTGGGTCACGTGACGTTGAAGGGCATCAACAGGCTGGCACTTCTTTCATCATTAACTGTCCGAATTTTGTCAGATGATAGCAGAACAACTTCGAGTTAAAACTGACTTGATTTCCCTTGCAACGCCCTAAATAGATAGTGGCGAGGAATAATCACTGCAGTCAGTGTAGCCACAAAATTCTTAAAATTTTGTTTGTAAATTCAAAACTTTGGCTGATACATGGCTGTTGTCCAAACAGAGTAGATTTGAGGTGAAATTAGGGTGAAAGGGAATGAAGGTTAAGTGACCCTGATCGAGTTAAACAAAGCACAACTTCATGACGTACAAAGATATCGAATGTGTTGTGGAAACGAAGATCTGAGTAACCGCAACAGAGCTATAACATGAGATACGTCTACACTGTATTTTTTTATTATTATTATTATTTCTAATCAAAATGATATTTGATCTTGATTCCTCTGTTTCGTGTTCGAAACAAATAAGTAAACTAGTGTGTCTCGTTTTGTGTCCGATCGGTATGAACCTCTGGCTTTCTATCCGCTGTAGTTTGAAAATTAATAATAAATGAACAAAAGCAGAGGCCCATACAGCATAGAATGGTATTCAACTTGTCAGTGTGCCACTATATTTTGGTTGTTCAAACCAGCTTTCTTACGGTAAAACGAGAGCGTGCATTGTACCTAATCGTGCCTTTCTGGTAGGCCTCTGCAGCCCTCTAAAAGAGAACTGTCGGGCCACGTTTTGTAGTTTGGCGAGAAGCAGTCGAACAGTCGATATTTGTTCTGAATTTTGTCCAGTGAGCAAAGTAACAAATCATGGAAGCTAATCTTTAGTAGAAAACGCACTAATCTCAGAACCAGAGTTAAATTAGACAAGACATCACCTTCTTAGTATTTTAGAAAAATTCCTCCTCCTACCTGAACGGATATAGATGCATTTCAGTCTTTTTTTTTTTTTTTTTTTTTTTTTCCGCTTTGTTATGATTATCGGCTATGCTCACGCGAAGCTATTATTTGCCTCTCTCTCAACTTCAGACATGTTATCATGTTGCATCACAGCCTCGCGACTAATGGCACCAAGGTCCCACCAGGGCCTGGCTACTTTTGGGGGCTCTACTTGTCCTATCGCAAATCAAGTCCCTAGTTTTATTCATATTGAATCCTACCTAGTGTGATAGTGGCCATTCCACTTCGTTCGTGGATTGAAACAAATATCAGAAAGGCATGTTATGAACAACACTTTGTGTGGAGAGATCACAGGAGATTCTGGACATATCTTCGGGTCCAGCCTCTAGCGCGGATGTTTGTATAGGTCTTGTCGGTTAGAACATATACTTCAGAGCTTTGAAAAGCTCATTTTTCTCTTCAGATCGTGGATTTTCGGGTATTTCACTTGAAAATTGTGCATGTTTGTAGGATCATCGCTCAAGCTTGACGATTTTGTAGGCGCTGGATGGCGGACGGAAAGATCAGAATTGGCTTTGTGTGCTCTGTGCGTGCTTTTTAATAAGCCTAAGGACGGTAACGTCTGACGTGTAAATCTCAACAAAAATCCGGTGCATTACGAGGCCCATTATGAGAACGGGCAGTTTTTTTTTTTTGCTGCAAGTGACTCTGAGCAAACTAAGCTAACCATATTACATCCTGAATACGGAGAGTATCTGACTGACTAACGGTGCCGCAAAGGTAGTGTTTCAGTACTTTAGCAATTTTGATCCCTGAATTATTTCCGCCTCTCGGTTTCAGTGCGATCGAGCACTTCGTGAAAAAGTACATTCGCCCAGGTAATTTGAAATGTACCCCTACAATACTATGAACTCATAACAAAAGTCTATTTCTTTTTTAGTCTCATTCCTTTAATTTGACAAAGATGAAATTCTTTTTTTTTTCCTCTTGAGATTCGTTTAGATAAGTGTCAGTACTATTCTTTGTAGGTTTTAGGTATTAGCCTTTAGACTTTTCTCGTATTCATGTCATGGGGCACGGTTTCACGATTCTGCTGAAATACAAACCGCACCAAAAATTTTCCAAAAAGCCATTAGTTTATGACCGTGATCGTGGGGAGGTAGGAAAAGCGATACACTAAGAATTGATCCACGGGAGGTGTTCAGTTGATGACATCAAAGAAATAAAGAAAGTGCGTTTGCTACATTCTTTTAGTTTCCTTCAGATTCTTGGATGTACTTTTTTCCTGCAACATAATCGTTACCGCTATCTGCTTTGTGCCTATCAGTTGATCTGTTTTGATTTCCCGTGAACTGTTTCCGGTTTGTAGGTCACTCAGATCGATATCTAAAATTAACACGAAATTCCTTGGCATAATATAGCGGTGCAAACACAACGTACTGTTTCAGTTTGTCCTCCTAGAGACTCTAATTTGGGTCACACAGTGGCTTCCACCCTTGGTCATCTCTTGTGTTCAAGAAACAAAAGCAACAAGATCATATTTGTTCCACAGGGGAAAAGGTGTGTATGTATTGAAAAAGAAATTGTCGTTTTTATCTACAAAAAAATATGTTTGTTATGACTGGGTGAATTGTTTTACCCCCTTCGTGAGTTTCCATGGCTGTGGCCTGCGTTGAACAGTCTAGCAGTCAGTAAGTGTAATCAATGCCTAATTTCTCACCGAATCCCACCGGGAATTGTCCGTTTTATTTGAAATTATTTTGCATATCATCTCAATCATCATGGGATTCAATAGTAATTTCATACCGACAATTGAAGTACCCGAAACCATCGGCACTTTAAAATGGATCGATCAGTGATGTTGGTTGATGCTTTTTCAACACATTCTCTTTAGAGTTTTCTTGCGGATTGCCTGGCATTCTAACACGACAATCAAGCAATCGACTCCTCGCCATCGCTGTCTCTGATTTGGTGGACAATGACGAAAGGCTTGGCAATTTTCACGCTGCTCATGTTGTGTAATTCCATGTCGGCCGCACGCAAACCAAAGCACACTTTTCGAAGCGGTTCAGGATCGGCGAGGCGACCCAACATAGTTTTTATTATGACAGATGATTTGGACACTGCGCTTGGATCGCCGGAGGTAATGAAGAAGACTAGCAAAATTCTTCGCCAAGAAGGAGCCGACTTTGTGAACGCGTTCGTCACAACACCTATGTGCTGCCCTTCCCGCGCCAGCATTTTGACTGGTTCCTACGCACATAATCACAACACGTACACTAATAACTTGAATTGTTCATCTCCCTCCTGGAGAAGAGGCCCAGAGAAGAAAACTTACGCCAAGTACTTAGAGTCTTCGGGATACGTAACGGGTAAGTTAATACATTGATCCACTCTTCTAGAACTATAATTATACTTTATCAACACATTGTCTGGTGTCATAGAACTTCACTCAGGGGAATACTTCACATTGAAATTCTGAAATCGAAACCAATAATTTTTATGGTTTCTTTAGTACAGCTCCTCTGACACAATTGACTACATTGAGCCTTCGCTGCTCACGCTGGTTATCACAAATCTGCCATCTTACAATTAGCCACAATAGAATTGTAATGAATATCACATCTCGTTGAAATTCTTTTGGTCGTCCGATTTTCAAACGATGCTTTGTTGCTTGACTAACTCTCATTGTCTTTTTAAGTGAATTACGTCAGCACTGCCGGCATTTTCTAAAGTATTTCATGAAGCAGCTACAGCAAAGAGCTGATCCCTAGAAAGTCCGGTCAGGCTGCAGCTCATATGTAAACCTCTTTATCAAAACTATTACCCAGCGCATGTTTGGCGGTTTAGCTGTGTTTTGGTCACAGCAATTCATGGGTCAATGTTGTATTTTCATTGGAGATTATTTAATCAGTTAATTCACTTCGCAAGTAGCGATAAGAAAAGAACGAAAACTTCTCTCTTCAAAGAAACATTTCTTCTTATTTCGACCAAGTATGCTTTAAACCAAGAAGCTGTATTTGTTTTGATTTCATCGGAGAAATGAAATCAGAGAAAATCGTTCAAAATCCATCCTCTGGCTAAACCTCCGCAATAAGTCAATCTCAAGGTCGTTTAAAGATTTAAGTAGCTCTGACCCAATGCAAAGGAAATGCTCCTACCAACAGGTTAAAAACTCCCTTGATCTGAAAACTCAGTGTACTCAGTTGCTTTTGCTGTCTCTTAATGTTTTGGAATCTTTCCACACCATAAGTGCACGATCTTTAAACTGACTGAAAAGTCAGTCATTAAAGGTTCAGCGACTTGCATTCTGCTCTTCACTTTTGTTTTACCAGACAAGTTATTCAAGGAATGTCGCCTTTGGTTGAAGGTTGTCTTATCTGACCAAATCTGCAAAAAAAACTGTTTTACAGGACTGATAGCGGTCTGTTTTACCTGTCTACTGAAACGATTACTCGAAGTGTATCATTGAAATTGCTTGTAATTGCATTTAGCTAAATGCGCACTAGAGGATTTTGATGAAGTGAGACGTCCTACAAAGGAATCATTTGCATATTATTCATTTATCATTTTAAGATTGTAGTTGTGCAATACTTTCGTTGAGGCCCCCTGATGGTGGTCGACTTTTAGTGGAAATCAAATAACAGCGGCTCACCGAATTATTAAACAATGTAAAAGCATTTGCCGTGATGTTTTCCGGGATGTACGTTGCTTCCTTAGGATTAATCACCAAAGGCAAATAAAGGATTCAGTCCCTTTCCGATATCATGAAATCGTGCCAAAGTAAATGGTCTTCTCTTAAGCGAGCTAAATCTAGAAAAGGTGGAAGAGTGTCAACGGAGTTATAACGAAACATCACGAATTTCCTCTCTTTAAATTGGTAGCCTGTTTGCGATGAAGATATCACTCTAAGTTTGCCGTAACCTTTGCTCCTGATTCCGACTACACAGACATTCTATGAACAGACTCGGCAGAAAAAGATGAACATTTAGCACTTCTATCTGAAAAATTCCGACATTGCCATGAATTGTTTCTATAATCTGGAACACTATTCTTTTCCTGTCAAGGTTATTTACACTCATGTGTAATAAAGTAAGCTTTGCAGAAAAGTTTTCCGTATGATGAAGCAAACAGAACGAGACAAATTTATGTACAGAGACAAGGTCATATTTTTTGCTGCTGTGGCAGTCTTTCACCACTTCGGTTAGAAGCATAATACTTGCAAAGGGAAACGACGAAAACGCACAGTAATTAGTACCATTTTTAGGGAATAATGAAGACTTCCTTTTAGCAAAGTTTCTCTAACATTGTTTACCTTACTGCGTAGTTTTGTTTTATTTTATTTTATAATTACAAACGCCTTGCACTTTTCCTCAAATGAACTTTAACAAGCTGAAAGGAGTTTTCACTCAGACAAGCTGAGCTCGTTTGGTTTGAAACGTTCTTGCCGACGAGTCCATAATTGACTGTGTGAGGTTCATTGGAAAGCATTTTTGTATTGATCCATGTTCAAACTGATCACCAACTCAAACAGGAAGGCGTATCAGCCAGCTATTTGGATGACGTGCCTTAACCCAGAATTGAAGTTGTTTTTTAAGACTGTGGAATTTCTCAGTGCATTTGTCTAAAAGCAAGTATCTCCTTTCGTGAAACTAACAAAGAGACAAAAATTCCCTGAATGAACGTGATTTGATCTATCTCTCTCGCACGCTCACTGTCTGTCTCTTATTTTATTGCCCTATTTTCTTTGGTTCGTCCTTTGTAATTTACTGTACCGCAATGGTGTCAACAGCAGAAACGTGACCATTTGAATATTAAAAATAAAATCTAGATCTTACTAAAATTACTGAAGTGAAAAATATGAAAAAGGCATTCTAACAATAGATTCACACTAATTGGGGAAGCTTTATTCCCTCTGCCATTACAAAGTCATTGGGTGTTTGTCAAATAATTTCCTCCTCTGTTTTTTTCCTAAAAGGAAAGCGAGAATTATATCAATCGATGAAAACTATCAGAACTAGAACTTTTATTGTAGTCGGGGTTAAACGCTTCTCCAATTCATAGAAAGTTCAACTCATAATAGTGCTATAAAGATGTTAATTTTTCATTTACCGGATTCACAACGAGATTATTCTCTTCTTTTTTTTCGAAGTGCGGGGGGCATTGACTATCGATTTTCCGGATATATTTTTCCGGACAACACAATTTTTGTCCTGGAATACTGAGAAAGAACTCTCTTGCAACATCTTACCTAGAAAGGGAAGTGCTAATGAGATTCATCCACAGCAGCTTCTCATACCATCACGATCTACTGACAAGTGTAATTTAATATCTTAGTGGGGCAAAAAATTGTTAAATTTTTTGATGAAGATTTTCCTCTCTTGACACAACAATACGGATATGAAAATTTCATGCAAATCCCCTTTCGAAGATCTTTTTATTCGGGTGTCAAACTCTGAAAAGGGCCAAATGGCGGCGATTCTCACAGAACGAGTTTGGCCTCCACCTTCGTTGAGAAAAAGTGAAAATAAAAAAGGAACCGGAGAAAGCTGACATGAACCATGGAGGTTTTTTTGTGGTATTTAGCCTTGTATACCAAACCAAAGTGCAACAGTCCAAACAAGCTCTATAAATAGTATCATATATGGTCGAAAAACTTCTTGCATTCAAGAACCGTTTTTCCCTTCTTTTGTTGTTTTTCTAATGTGACCTGGTAAGATACACGGTGACTGTATGTTGAAAGGAGCAGTGTCTTCACCTACGCACGTTAATTATTTCATTGAGCTATGAAATGTTCATCCAATTAAAGAATCTTTCAGTAGGTTACCTCAGAATGCAGTATGTCAATTGATCACATATAAAAGGCACAAAAGAATTATGCAAAAGGCATCTTTAACACTCGTTTTGATGAGAACTTCACCAGAGCATTAAGCGTTTCTGATAGAGCATTTTACACAGCTGTATTTACAGTCCCACAGTTTCACAGTTGTGTAATGGATGTCCTTTCTGAAATACTGAACCAAAATAGAATCTTCACGAACAACGAAACTGAGTATTTTAAATACTTTAGCAGAATTAATTCTGTAGATAAACAACACATATGCGCTAATCAGGATTATAATATCGTGGTATTTTGTGCAAACCGGACAATACAATTTTTGTGCGCGTTAGCAGGGCGGGAAGAGGATAAGTGTCTTTACTTTAAATGTTAATCTTTTCATTGCATGTGTAAGTAATAATAAGTGCGAATAAACAGTAATCAGATTTGCGCTGAACAATGTTTAAAGCCAGTTGACCCTAATTGCTGGGTTGGAACAACGCATCTTAAACGAAGCACGCACTGTAACCCACACATTGTACATTTTCCATATATGACCTACTAAATTGCAATTGATAATTTTGGAAAACCTCTCGCAGTTTATTTTCTTTAAACCCAGCCAGCTGCACGATGAGAGGGATATTTTGCATCATAATGGCGATAACCGTCGGTTATCTTCGTGTCACAGGTCCATCCGCCTTACTGCGTCGCCTTTTAATGTTTTTTTAAGTTCGTAAGAAGTGTGAACAGAATGTCAGTCCTGTCTGAGAACTTATTTAAAGATCTACTGGTTGGATTTACAAGTCAGACGTTATCGTATACGCCTAATACAATTGTCAGCGAGCCAAAACACCAGATAAACGAATCAATTATTACAACAAATAGTCCAATCTCATTTACGTAAAAGGTTTTTCTTTAACTTCACTCGTAAACCTTGACTGAGGTTCCAGTAATTGTTTGTTTTGCAATGCCTGTCTGATTTTTTTATCGGAATAAAACAAAACTAAACGGCACATTCTTCTTAGCTTAGTTTTGCGTATTTTTCTCCAATTCTTATACATCTTTAGATCCCTCTAGCAATAACCCAATCGCAAATGAATTGTCAGATCTGATGGACATGCAAGTGAACAATACGATGGGAACGTTAATTTTAACACGCTCAAACTCAAATAGTCAGCAAACATCAAGCAGCAGCCACCAGGACTGTTATTGTCCTCTCCGGCATTGGCCTATGAATAGTGCGCTCAAATAAGTTTAAAGTCACAAATTGCATGCACCACAGACTTGCTTGGTCACGGGAAGGAAATTTAAAAAGGTCTTTGGGGTTTTTAATAACTATTAGTATGATAACAATTAGGACTAATTTCTTTTTACTCTTAATAGTATAAGGAAGGATTAGCTTTTGACCACGGAGATACAGATATACAAAAGAAAGATTTTATTTAATCTTTCTAGAATCTCGTCCAGGTGTCGCTGTTTAATGCTCAATAAACAATTGATACTCTTAGTTGCGTGTCGATGATTCTTGATGAAATTTCCACCTTGTTTTTACGTCAGACCATGACTATCGGTTGGACCTTTTCACGGAATCGGCCTACCTGACATACCTGCATGGGAAGTTGTTCAAGTGATTCGTTTGTTAAGACATAAAAAAAACGGCAGCTATGGGGCAGTTTTTTCGTCTGTAATACATTTTTGCGAATAGATCTGTTAGACATTAAAATCGTGACATGTTTTTATCATAAATTTTCTTTTGACCAGTGACTGGACATCTTATTGTCTGCGAGTTTTTTGTCTTCAAGTGAAGCAACCTTTATGTGATCAGTTGTTTAAATTCTAATGGAGACATAGACAAGTTCAGATCAAGATGGTTTATCTTCCTTTCGCAGGTTACTTTGGCAAATATCTAAACGAGTACGATGGGAGCTGGGTACCAGCGGGTTGGAAAAAATGGGAAGGACTGGTGTTTAACTCCAAGTTCTACAACTACACAATACGACGCAACACGTACAAAGAACGACACAAGATGGATTATGGGCAGGATTACTTCACTGATTTCATCACTAATAGGAGTATCTCTTTCATAAAACGGACAAAAGAGAACAAACCACACAGTCCTTTCCTAGCTGTGGTGAGTCATGCAGCCCCTCATGGCCCGGAGACGCCTGCTCCTCAATACAGTACAGCATTTCCTGGTGCCCAAGCTCCAAGGTATAACCAAGATTATGTTTAAGGAAGCCAGTATCTACTATCACTGTAACTTTTTTTCTCTTTGTTGCAAGAGTTGATCCATACAAAAGAACTAGGTTTTTCTGTCATTATTTGTTGGTTTGTTTTCTTGTCTACCGTTCACAAAACAAATTGTTCGTTGTTAGGGTATTCTGAACATATTTGCTCCCCTGTAATTTAACCCTTAACTCCCGTGAGTTACCAAGACAGAATTTCTCCCTACAATATCTATACAATATCAACCAGATAAGTGATGAGAATAAAGAAAAAGATCAATTTGGGGATAATTAGTTGAATCAATAGTAAATTCTCTGAACCAACATTACAAGAATTGTATGTTGACAGTAAGGAGAATTACAAATTTAATTTGGGAGTTAAGGGGTTAAGTTAAGACAGAGTAAAAATCTCTTCATGTTTATATTTTCTCGGAGGAAGAGCATATGTTGCAAGCCGCTATCGAACCTTACCAACCCTGTGTAGTCTACCAATCGCTTACCACACACAGCTGAGCGATCATATCGTCCTTGTGAGGTAACGTTTTGCACTTTTTACAGGTATCCTAACTGGAATTATATATCACTGGACAAACAATGGATCATGAGGGAAACACCTGCGATGAGTGCACAGAAAATAGCTTTCGTGGATCTGCTTCACCGCCGTCGCCTTCAAACACTGCTTTCAGTTGATGACTCAATCGCGCGAATCTTCCACACTCTCCAGTCCCTAGGGATTGAAGACGAAACTTACATATTCTTCACATCAGATCATGGTTACCATCTTGGTCAGTTTGGTCAGGTCAAAGGCAAGTCCATGCCATTTGAGAGCGACATAAGAGTTCCTTTTTACGTGAGAGGTCCAATTATTCCCAAGAATATCAGGTGAGACACAACACTCTGTTTCACTTTAATTACAGTTTTTTGTAATCAATCGTAATCAATCAACCAGCGTCCTTTGCCTTGTCCTGTTTTTTTCTCCTCGTTCTTCTTGTTCCGAGTCCTTCCTTGCCTACCTTACTGCTCCCCTTTTTGGAAGATACAGCCGCGTCATTTGTTAAGTTAACAAATCTTTGGTTAGGAGAGGACTTTTGACAAATTGTGAACCCAATTGCAAACCACAAATGTGTAAAGTGAGTCGTCGACCTGTAAGGTTTCGAAGAGGATTTCAAAGTGTACAGGTCTGATAAGAAGAAAAACAGAGTTAACACCCTTAATTGATCGTTAATCTTTTAATTATCGCTAGTTGTTAGGTGTTGACCCACTGAACCCTAACACCAGTATGTTTATTCTGTATACTGTTCTCTATATATTTCCTAAGGTGCTGACATGGAGAATTTGTGCAAAAAAATCCAGAGTTTTGTTCGTTGGTGACCATCTCCTTTATTGTTGTGACCTTAATGTGTGATTCAGGGGTGATGTTCTGAGGAGAAAATAGATGCTGATCACGCTTAGGGGTGGAAGGGTTAAATTGATCTGACGAGTGATGTTGACCCCAAGTTGATCTTGTTTGTTATGCAGTGTAACAGACATGGTCTTGAACATTGACCTGGCACCCACATTTTTGGATATTGCCGGCATTAAGATACCCAAAGACATGGACGGTATGTCTGTTATGAAACTGTTCCGCAGGACAAGATACGGACGAAGAGCAAAAAGGTACACGTTTTTCCCGAAACTGTGGAATCGAAGTTTCTGATATTCATGCGTACTAATTGTCAATCACTATTAGATTGGTAGGTAATGAAAGACTACATCAAGTGTTCTGTACATGCGCTGATCATTGTTGTGATATCATCGATTGTAAAGCTGTAGAGAGCTGTCTTTTTTCTTGAAAGATATTTTGACGAATCACCTAGTTCAGGATAATATCATACCTGACTGAGAGAGGCATTTTAAGCTTTCCACAGAAACAAACTTAGCACAAGTTAAGCTTTCAGTGCGTTTGTTGTTTACTGATCTGTTTTTTTTTATATTTTCCAGGCGAACACATGTTGTATGGAGGGACACAATTCTCATAGAAAGGTCTCGAGGGTAAGCAGAATAGTTCAACACACGACAAACTTAGCACAAAAAAAGTTAGCTTACTTTTGCCCTATTAATGAAGTATTTTGCGTTTCTTGTGTAAGAAATTCTTAAGGCCCTGAGTATTTTTTTTTTAATTCACAATGAAAAGTTTTATGTCTATTCTAGAAAACCAGTTTTAGTTTGGTTCGTTTTGGAACCATTTAACTGTATCGCGAATGCTCAAGCACCACACATTTATCACTTGTTCAAAGGGAAATTTGATGATTTCAAAAGCAAGAAAAGAAACATTATTTTGTTGTTTGGCAGATCAATTTGCTTATCAGTAGCCACGCTGAGATAATTTCATGAGCAATTTCGGCCGCTGAAATTTTAAATTTGTTGTGGTAATGAGGCTTGAAACACCCTAAAGAATAGTAATCGTTCTACATGGGTTTAAGCCATTTGGGAAGGGACTCCCTGACGATATTATACAGAGAGTTTGCGTATTCATTTGGAGCGTTAAAAGCTAAAGCCTTAATTTATGACTCTCCTTTGTTTAAATTTTAGTTTTATACCCTTAGAGTCAATCTCGTCACCTCTCTTCATATGGTAATAATATACCCTCTTACTTGCAATCACTGAACGTGATTGTAACGTGGTGTGCTGTACGGCTCGCCTTCCCGACTCACGAGTCATCCGATTGTAGTCATTGGACTAATTTAATATACTGTACACGTACATTGTAGAAATATTGGCAATGTGTCATTTTAGTTGGAGAAGGACGAAGAACTTCATGAAAGGGAAATCAGGGAACAAGACTGCTTCGGTTAAGGAGCGAAAGATGACCATTTTGGAAGACATCTGCTCCAGGCCAAAATACCAATCCCCTTGTCAACCCAAGCAGCTCTGGGAGTGTCAGACAGTCAACCGCAGACCAAGACTGAGAAAATGTAGACGAAATACCACAACTTTATTAAGGACAGCTCCAATTACCCGACCTACATCTCCTACCGATCCTGTGAAGATGTGTGTTTGCATGAAGCAAAGACCTGATAGTGGACTGCATGAAAACCAAAATGACATGCTGCTCTACGAGGGTGAGTTGAACAGTCGACTTTCCTTCTTCGATAATCTCTTTTTTTATTTATCCTTTAATAATAAGGATTCTTTCTTTTGCTTGGAGAGAAGAGCTATTTCATTTAGTGATCAAGCTTCCTAACACTCATCATAATTTTGTCCTTTATCATTTTGCAGAGGAGCTGCTCATAAGCGGCATGGATTATTTGACCAAAGAACTCAGACGAAGATCAAAAGGGTCTCGTTATTTTGGATACAATCCAAGGAAGAGAAGAAATGAGTTCAACAACAGGAGGTACCAGAAGGAATTGGCCAGGGCTCATAAGCTGCAAAATCGACGTTCGAAGTCCAAAGTGTTTATTAGGACTCCTGCTAGCAAACCAAAACCTCAGTCAAACGTGACTCAAACGCCTCACGGGTCTTCAGAAGTGCAACGAGCGGTGGCGGAAAAACTTGGAAAACTAAAGGAGAAAATTCAGGGAATAAGGCAACGCCTTGGTGCGTTGCGTGACAGGAGGAAGAAACTGCTTCTGATAAGCGCGCGTGACAAGTTCTTAGAGTACCCCTGTCCATGTAACCACGGTAATGATACCGCGAGAGAGATCAAAGGAAACTATGGTAATGATCAATACCAGATATCATCGCTGAGAAGAAGAAATAAACCGCCAAAAGCTCCATCCCGCAAAACAGAGACCAAGAAAAAAAAGGGGAAGGCGAAGCCAAGACGTAGCATGTGTGCCAGCCCGGGTATGAACTGCTTCTATCAGACAGAGGATCACTGGAAGCTGCCGCCGCTCTGGACCGGTAAATATTCTCACATTCCACCTGTAAAAATCAGGAAAACGAATTTTTCGTTGAGTGCACGTCATATGGGTCTTTATGCATACCAGTAAGTGAAAGGAACGGAAATTTCACCGTTGCCCCCACAGCCTATGTTAAATTATTTACCAATGATCGATCGCAGTAAGACCTTGACATCCTTTTGTAATGTTTCTCTGGGTAGAAAGCTAAAACTGAGGTGACATTTTTTTTCGGCTATTGGTCAGATCTGCGTTCGGGTTGGCAGTGACTATCCACTGCTGTTCATCATGCTACGGTGGTTTCGGATGCCTTACCTGTGTCTCCTTAGGCAACCCCGCCTAGGTTTTCATCGGTTTATCAGTTGACTATCTGAAACAGGATCCCATCTATTAACCGTCGCTCAATACATTTAGTTGAGTTTCACCTAAACATGCAAAGTTATCACAGAGGAAAGTTTACAACAGATTTGTAAAGATTTACACTTCGAGTTGAAATATTATCGTCATGTTCATGCTCAGAATGCCCTGTGCTGACCAGAAGGGTTGTCCTTATGCCATGGCTCAATGTTATCACTTTGTATTTAGGAACCAGTAGCTTCATGAAATGGTTGAATGAGAGTTTATATGTAATAAACAACGTAAATGGACTGGTAGAAACTCTAAAACTTACATTACCTGATGTTTGTTTTTTTGTATAGGAGGAGAATTCTGTTTCTGTCCTAATGCTGCCAACAATTCTTACTGGTGCTTGCGAACAATAAATTCGACACACAATTTTCTATACTGCGAGTTCATCACAAATTTCTTGGAGTACTTTGACCTCAACAAGGACCCATATCAGGTATGGAAACGTTCAATTTGTTCGAAAGTTAAGCTGTACCGGGAAGTTGAGATAGTTATTCTCTTTGAGTTTTTATCTCTGTTATCATTGATTGCGGATAGTTAAAAACAAATCCACGCTTCCTAAAGCTTTTGAATATCAAAAGCCGTGAATAATATACGACTCAAACATGCTTAAGGTTTTAATCTTAGTAACGAGTGTTTTGCCATGCGAATCATATTTTTAAAGCATGTTTACACTCTGAATGATTCAGAGCAATCCAGGTTGGTACAGCTCAAGTAATAGTAAATAATGAAAAAATTAATCAAAGTTGAGGAAAAGGCAGGTCAATTTATAATAAATTCTGGAAATTTTTTAATTTGAGAATGATGTGTCAGAAAATGACTATGATACCGTTGAATCTGTAGACTGGGGTTGGAATAAGTCATTACTCACGTTTATCTCGACATTTCTACATTTCCTTAAAGTTTTGTCTTGCATTTTGCAACTCCTTGTTTTTACTATTATTTGCATGGTCATAGTACAAACGCTTTGTTGTGTTTTTTTCGGTGGAAGTATGAGAAGGAAGACTTAGGGCTGTAGCTGTAAGTTACCTTGTGTTACCTTGTTACCACTGTCAGTGCCAACCTTGTTGATGCCATGTAAACCTTAAGCTCATTAGGCTTCGTCCGTAACCTGAAACTGAACATATCAGTGGTGTTGATATTGAATATCATCTTTTATTATCTTGCAGTTGCATAATATAATTCATGAGGTGAGTCCTGGTGTTCTATCAGAGCTTCATCATCTACTCGTCAAGATGCGAGGATGTAAGGGAGAGGATTGCACTCATTACCATGGTAAGAAGCACCCTACAGTACCGCCAACAAGTCCAGCGGTCAACACCCACTTGAGAGAAGGTATGGAAGAGAGTCACATGACTCCTTTACCAACAGCGCCATCAAACCTGCAAACATCTGCTCGAAGTGCAGTGAACCCTTTGACTTCGGAGTCACCCTCTCTAGTCCTTGTTACGCGTTCGGACGTTACAGCAAGTTCTCCGCAGAGTGTTTGGAACAACGTTTCGAAACCAACTACTATTGAAAAGTTTACAACACTTCCACCAAAAGATGTAAATGTGAGTTTATTAGAACATTCGACCATTCAGTCGACATTGAACTCAGAACGAAAACAACAGCTCATGGAAAGCTTAAAAACCGAACATTCAATTGTTCAAGCTAGTGAAATGGCGCCTTTACCTACAGTTGACTTTAAGACTAAGAGCAAGCCAGACGAAACATCAGACTTGGAGTCCAACTCCTGTTTGAATTGTTCCAGGTCCGACGACCTACCGAAAATCTTCGTGAGAACTTCGGAACTCAACACAAGTTTATCAGGATTGAACGTTTCTTCAGTCCCAACCACATCAGCATCAGCGACTCCAAAAAGCAAAGAGGAAACTAGTGGAATGCATTTCAATATTTCTACACCAAAACCAGAGAAGGGAAAATCGCCCAAGAGACGCAAAAATGGAGATCGAGAGGGGAGAAAAAAAGATAAATATACTTCAAAAGGCAAACCAAAGAATAAAAGTCTTAAGAAGTCCAGAAAGTTTAAAAAGAAATCTTCAAACGGAGAAAGAACGTCACTGTCTGAAGAAAAGAAAGAGAGCCCAGAGAATCCTACAAAGCAGACAGTTGTCTTAAACACCACGATATGGTCTCCGGAATCTCCTTTAGACAATAACAGCGAAAAGTCTGACCACGAGAAACCATCTCAACCAACTGTAACACCCTCACTTGGCTCCAATCATGTACCCACAGTCTTAATGAAGTCTTCGGGTCCTGACACAAGCTCTTCCAAACTAAATGGTTCTTTAATTGCAGCAACATCAGCCTCTATCACCACATCAAGAGAAAGGATGACTGAGAAAAATGTGCGACAGACAACAGCAGTCAAACCATCGAAGAGAAAGTCCGCAGAGAGAAGGAAGAACAGTAGCTCGATTGATAGGAACAAAAAAAATTTCTAAAAAAACTAAGAAAGATGAAGAAATTATCGGAGAGAGAAAATTCTCAAACTTCAGAAGAAATTAAGCCGACCATAGAGGCAGGAGAAGTAAACCAAACTGGATTGAAATCAAAATCGACAAACAGAAGACCTGAATCAGAGAACAAAGACAGCAAGAGGGGCAATAAAGCATTGCCGGAAGTTTCACGAAAACGGAGCAAAAAGCCGGCGAACAACCGACCGGCGAATCGGAACTTCAAGAAAAAGTCTAAAGGAAAACATTCCAAGCAAAGACCGACTCAAATTAGCCAGGAGGGAGGGGTGGTAGAAAATGGCACCGGTTTCTCTTCGAATTCGGAATCTTCGCCCTCTGACCCTAGAAAAGAAAATAACTAATTTTTTCTCTTCATTGCTGGTTGGCTCAGTTCAGATGTGTAGAAACCACTCCTTAAGCTTGTCAAAATTTGAAAATGCTTGGCGATTTACATACCCTCATCAATCGAGGGCTGTAGAGAAGTCATTGTAAAGTCAAAACCTCACATAGCTTTGATAGTTTATGCGTTGTAACAAATAGTAGACAGCAAATCAATTGCGGAAAGGTCTGAGGAAAAAAAATAAGTCTACTCACTCTCTCCTCCCTTGATACTGGTTTAGGTCGCTTATTTCGTAGACTGTTTAAAAGTGGACGTACCAACGTGGATGTTGGTTAGCGAAAACAAATCTACTACAATTGTTTTTGTCGTTAACTTTATTAACTCCCATGAAAATTGTTGATTGTTTTTGTTTTTTTCTGTCGAAGTGTTGTAAATTCTTCTTTTGAAGTGTTTTAATTCAATGTTTTTAGCTACGGCAAACTAAACAGAAGTGAAGATTTCCTCTAACCGATCATTTTGAAATTTCCTTGTTACAAAAAAAATAATAATTGCAAAAACCTAGCTGTACTACTTATCTCTTTTTACAAAATATTATGAGCTATGAATGTTTAAGATGAGTTGAGTTTATTTGTAAAGCGATTGGGTTGGTTTGCAGTCCGGTTCAGAAAGTCTCCATTTCCGTTTCAGAGTGACACAAGATTGAATGAAACCACAAAATCTTTTATGGTTTTTTTTTAACTCAGTGGTAGAGAAACTTTTAATTGACGCTTACGCAGAGCTTTTTACAAAGATGTTTCATTTCTTATGCGACATATGAAACTTTATCTTTGATTTGAACTATTAATGATGTTCTGTTAAATGTCGTTTTCTGGGTTATCGTCTCTTAACGCTTTTTTATTAAGTTATTTCAGAGCATCTTTGTATGGTGATGGTTTTAATAAAGCTTTACGTAATAGTGGTTAATCGATTAAGTATAATTTCCCTCAAACCTTTTAAGCAGAGCATCATGCTGAGTTTACTCACCTCACGAGTATCCTGTCTTTTCGTATTGGCCAGAAATAGTTAAACTGCTTAAGAGACGAGGCGCTGGTCATTTATCATAGAAATTATGACTTGGTACCCAGTCCTACATTCTCAGGCCAAAGTCTTTGTAATTCGCGGATCAATTCAATGCTTGAACATTCCCACTACCAACCTACTAGCATTTTACTGCCCTTGTGCAATTCGAACTTTGCCCGCGTGGGGTGGGAGAGTCGAACGGAACTGTTCAGTCTTACCAGCGGATTACAAGTATTTTATTTTTTACTATGGAAGTTTTTAAAGTTAAAAAGTTCACTTTGCGCCCTTTTGGGGCGGGCGGGAAGGGGGCGGAATTTAAACGAACCAATACTCAAAAGTTCAAATTCCAGAGCTATCAGGAGTCTCTATCAGGAAATATGGGCGAGAAAAATTTGATGGGTTCTTCGTTCCCATAAAATAATCTGATCACAATCTTGGTTCAGAAGCTATCAACAGAACTGTACCCAAGCTTTAGAATTCTAGGGCGTGTTGAGTACTGCTGAACCTGTCTCTTGGGGTACCACAAAAGATCTATTTAGAGCCTCTGATATTCATCCTTTACCTTAACGATCTCCCCAGCGTGTAGGTGGAGTGCAGCTTCAGTGAGCTGACGACACAGCCTTGTTTTCATCAGCGCCTCGTATGTTCACTATCTATGTTACCTATGTCAGAGAGTTCGAGCTCAATTTGGTAGTTTACTTATTTGCGTAATTAATTCAAAGGCAATGCTTCGCGGGGCGTCGCAGAGGCTTGCCGAGGATAATTCCAATCACTATGTGTCAAAAAGCGTCATCCTTGATGAACATGCATGAAGAGGGAAATGATGATATTTTAGTATTGCGCTGACATCTGGGTTTGCTACAAGAAGATAAACAGAGGAACATTCGAAGATTCACAGAAGTGCGCCGGAATTTTTTTTTTGTAGTGACCTTACGATGAAAGCTTTTAAGTGTCTAAGTTCCAATGAACAAGTCTTTTAACTTGGGAGGAAAGTATCGATGGACGGGGTCCTCACTCTAAATAATTGTAGAAGTACAAATTCATTTTTCATACCTCTTACAGTATATTTTCAGAATGTAGTACCCCGGGCTCCTGTTGATACCACCCTGAATCACACATGCACAGTTTTCTTGCATCAATTTTCGAAATAAAGGAGTCTATTCTTTCACCACAGAGGTCGACCATTCCACGAGTGTGCTAATGGTAGAAACGGCAAACGGCGAACGGCAAACGTGAAAAATGGCGGGAAAATCATAGTCACATAGTATTTTTTTGTGAATGAAAGTGATCCTCGTAGTAATGTGCACTACTTGGGCAGTAATGAAAATAAGGCCTGAAAAAAATTCAGGCCTGTACGGGATTTGAACCCATGACCTCTACGATACCGGTGCAGCGCTCCACCAACTGAGCTAACAAGCCAATAGGGAGCTGGTCATGATGTTGGTTCCGAATAAACCCGTAAAGTGATGAATAAACGGTTAAGAATATATGAATACATATACGTATATATATACATATATATATACGTCTTTATCCGCAGTTCAAATATATGACTTTCATATATTCTTAACCGTTTATAGTATTTTTTGCCGTTCACATTCCTCTTGGACCCTACGTAAACGTAAATCTAAATCTCTCTGATATGCAAGAGTACTGAATGATAACATTTTCAATGTATCTTGATCTGAAAATCTCAGTTACTCCATTTGTACCACTAATCACCGATCGTTTGTTCCGTCTGCTGTCGGCGAGCATCACCCGATGGTTTCCGCCAATTTCCCGCCCTTCCCATTTAACTTTGCGATGTCATGAGTGTGGCCAGGTTACCAAATTTATTTTATTCGATCAAAATGGAGAGTTTAAACATATAATACACATGTAACTCTGCCATCTTACACCGCCGTAAGTATTATTTTCCCATATCTTCTTCATAGTCACAGACGTAAAAGTCAAATGATTTTTGGACGGAGATCATGTGCTTTTTCGATTCCCGGAATACATTCCTCAACAACACCAACACACAAGAACATACAAAAAGTAGATCTTTAGTTGCTGAAACTATTTCTGTTTTCCAACAATTTTTTTGTAAATATATAAAATAACAAGTGTACATCCATTTCCAAAGTTACTTTTGTTATACAAAATGCAAAAGCATAGCAAATTTTTGGAAAACTTAAAAAAAAAAACTTTGGACTTTTCTCTAATAATAAAACACAACAATACAAAAGTATGTAGCGAACTGTAGCTCATTACTGTGTAAGACTGCTAACAGTGGCTCTCTCGTATTTATAGAGATAATAGTTATCCCAAAATGACCCTGAAAAAGTCTTGAAAAGATATTCTTGAATCAATCTATTAATTAACAGGCTCTGCAGTCTAATTATGAACCATTCCTTACACCTTGGTAGTCCAAATGGTAATTAGTATTTATAGCAAGAAAAAAACTGTCCTGTTTTAGTACTTCTTAACAAAGAAAAGATGTTTTGACATCTCTATGAAAGCTCCAGCTAAAAAAAATATTATATAACTTAGTAATCCTATTGCAGGTCATGTAAAATTTGAATTGTAAACTATCGGTGCACTGCCCAGCAGTGAGATTGTGCCATACAGCACAGCCCTCATGCAACACAATTTGTTAGCTTTCTTATGGCTTTCTGTGAAAGACATCAAGTACATCAATTGTTTCTACTATCTTAACACAAAAAAAGGAAAATAATCCAACCAAAATTTCAGTGCTTGATCATACAAGTTGAAGAACCAATTTCCTTTTTCTATTAAATAAATCCAAACAATGGTATCTAAAGCCTGAAACATGAAGTGAAATTTTCAAATACAAAATATACCGGTAATAATATAAACTGGGTCATAAATACAAATATAGTGATGCTCTGTTTATAAAAATATAACCTGTGATGTTTGAACCATTCAATATCTTCCTGGATTTCTCTCTTACTTGGTATTTGCTCAGAAAATTTTTCACTTTAAACACCTAGCCTGATGTGCCTCATTTCTAGGCGAATAATCTTCAAATAAATTATTTCAGGGCTGGGTGTGCAAATATAACACCATTTTTATCAAACAGTCATAAAGCTACACCAATCAATTTACAACTTCAAAACTGAACAGTTGTGGTTTAGACTACATGTACATGCATTACAAGAATTTGTGGCAGGCTTTTCACTTGCAGTGATCATGCAACAGATCTATGATTTAAGTGGAAAAGTCAACCGTGGTCTGGGGAAAATCTCAGCACACTTGGAGAGTAAGAGTTTTCAGTATGAAAGGTGAAAATCTATCTACATGTACAATATATTTTTAAAAGATCAGATTAGAGTTACCACATGATAACAATCCAAGCTATTCCCACATGTAACATTGTAATTATACTTGTTAATCCAGCACCACTATTTTGTGTTTCAGCATTGAAGGTAGAGTTTGGGACTGAAAAGAATTAGCAAAAAAGGGTGAGTGTCTGTAAACAGAATTTTTGAGAATCAACTTCAGTAGTGATAGCAGCCTGCTTATATCAATCAATGATGAATGAGCCTTTGCATTTTCCCTTCTCTTTCCTGCTTCAAGAACCTAAACT